AATCTCTACCGAGTAGATTAAGTGAACATCTTTATAAGCCTAGGTTAGATTGACCCACCTAAGTTAGTATAATTACATACCGACCGTTTTAGTATTATTTTATTGAAAACTTAATTTTTATTCCGCCTTCAATAGTCTTAGGAAACCAACAAAAATCGTGACAACTATTCGCCTTAGCTAAACTAGAAGTTCATCTAGCACTACGTAACGATAGAATCCCTGTGGATCGATAATCTTAAATATTACTTCGATAGGCTGTGCACTTGCAGTAAGATACCGCTAGACGCATAAGTAGACACGTCTTTAGCCCATCACCTCCCCCAGATCAGCTAGAAAATCATCCATCAAAGAACCAGTAGAAGCACCCTTTGTGCGCCTGTATTTTGGATGAAAGAATACCGAAATCCATAGAGAAACCTTAAAAGCTGAGTGAGTATAACAAAATGGGAGATCTAGACGAGCACGTGCAACTCGTCAATGATCAATTAAATTACTTTGCTACCGAGGAAGCCTCAAATGCAAGTTATTTGTGTTAACTCTGGTAAAGTCGGGTAGACTATGGTTGAATGGTCTATCAGATATGTGTATTGAATCATGGATAGATTTCTGTGAAAGATTCGCTACTCACTTTACCACCCAGAAAAGGTAGCCATTGACAAAGATAACGTTGAGACCAGTAGCAAAGATTCACTGGACGGATTTCTGCGAAAGATTCACTACTCACTACTCCCTCAAAATTTGTCAACGTTGGGACCAGCGACAAAGATAAAAAGACCAGTATGGGGAAGTTCCAGTTTATTGCTCCCATTACTAGAGGAGCACTATAACACTACGAAATAACTAAAATGTTATTTTATTATTATTCGTTTCTTATTTGTGCTTTGGATGATTTTATTCTATTTATTATTATCATTATTATTATTAAGAATTAATTTATAAATTAAAATTTAGTAGAGATAATGGGGAATGAAGTTGAATACAGAAGGAAATAAAAAGGTACAAAGTTGATTAGTTTAAGGGAGAGAAAAAGAAGAGAACTAAAAAGAAGAAAAAAAAGAAAGATGTATTCTTTGAGAAAAAACCTTAGCCACTCCAAAGACCCTTTTTTTCTCCAAAAATCCAAAAGAAAACCCCAGTTCATCCAAAAGATTGTGGTAGAGATTAAACAAGGAAGAGTTGCCACCATTGTTGAGAGCTACATTGAGCAATTTCTGAAAAACACAAGGTAGGGGAGATTATTCTATAATATTGGTATTTTAGCGTTTAGGGTAGCAGGGTTTCCCTTGAACCCCAAATTCATCTTAATTCTTATGGGAATTTCCCTACAGATGATTATTCGTAAACCCTAGGTTATGAATATCTCTCATATCACCAATGATTTAGGTTATTTGGACAAATTGATGTGTTTCCCCTAAGTCATGTATATGGATGTTAATATCATGTTTTGATTTGGTGAAAATGTGTTATAATGAATTGATTATGTTTTCCATACCCCAAAATTTTCCCTGTCCTTTTCACTTTTTATCTGACTTTTATTTTTGATTCATTTGCATCCCCATAGTTATCTAGGTCATTCATTCAGAATTGCATCTATTTTTCTTTTAAAACATCATTGATTCAAAGGTTTGATATTTATGATATAGAGCATTGGATTATGGATAATGCATGGGCTAGGGCTTCATGATGTAATTTCTAATCAAGCATATGGTTCATTGTGCTGCATTTTGATTATTTGGGGCACCATAAGCTTTGGGTTCACCTGGGAGAAACCCTAATTTTAGTCTTTGATATTTTGATTATGGGATTGCATCATGAAACACTTGATTTTGAAAGTCACTCTTTGGGTTTGATTTTTGTGATCATGTTCATATGAATTCATGCTTAGTGATTATCTTGGACTTCTATTAGATTCATAAATGAGTGTCTTGGTTGTGGAAGGCTGATAACTATTGATCGCCTTGATTCTTTAAAGACCATAACTTGAGAAATTACATGTAATGTTCATAAATACTGACCTTCAAAAGATATTTTGGTAGCTGCCAACCTCAGTGTGAAGAATGATATATTATACAAGATTGGAATGGCTAATTGGGCTCCCTCTTCTTATGGACCATGTATCTCGCCCAGTCTTTATGGTCTTATATAGCAATTAGGAACTCATTCTACCTTTGATTTTGGATAAATCATATTTGACCAATTTGTTAAATATGTTTAGTCTTATCTCATTAAGATTCTTATTGATATCCCTTCTTTGATATGTCTTATTTTGAGTAATTAAAAGAATAATATTCTCACTTGTGATGATGAGGTTGGTGTTGCTCCGAATGTGTTAACTTTTAGTTATAATCTATTTGTTGGGAAACATGTTGTTGACATTCTAATACTTAATATTACCTTTATTGATGAAATTGGTTTGAGTTTTGATGATGAAATGCTAGATGTGTATCCCTTTTCAGGGTCTGTGAGAAGTCACATTCTCAAGGGTTTTATTTATGAGACAAAGGTTCTACTGCAAGGAAGATTATGTGTGAATGCATTATCAAAATGTTATCTCCTCAATCTTTTAGAGCTTTATTATCTCGACCTATTGTTCCTGGTAATGAAAAAGATGAAGCTCGTGTTGATCATTTTAGGAATGTATCCATCTTTGGAAAGGAATATGGTGATGCTAATATGAACGAAGTTGCCTTTGACAGTGACTCTATCACTTGTCGCTTTAATTTTTTTGTTTCTTTGGTTTGATGGTCATTTTTATGTGGATTGAGTAGTTACTTAATTTGGTTGGATATGTTCTTAGTTTGATTGTTATGATTTTTTATACTTTTGGTTTCTTGTTTTCTTTCCATTGGTCCTTTTGAGGAAAACATAGGGAGAAAAAACACTTTTTTACTAAATTTTGATGTTGCTATCGTGTGCATGATTTTATCTTTGTTAGAAGTGTTCAATATTTTTTTTACCTAAACATACCCAAAGATGATTTTTGTTATTTCATAAGGATTGACTTAGTTTTATCAGAAAAAATGTTAAGCAAAATGTCTCAAAAGTTATAGAGACATCTTGGCTCCGTTATCCATTGATACTCTATTTTTGAAAAGATTTTGTGTGAAAAAGAATTATGTGTTTCAGTTATGCGTGATTATTTTCAGAAAGATTTATTTTGTTCAAAATTTGCATTATTTGTTTTTAAAAGATTTAGTGTGAAAAATAATTAATTAGTAACATAACCTGCATTATTTGAATAGATTTAATTTGTTAAAGACTGGATATGTTTTTAAAGAAAGATTTAATTTGGTGAATATTGGATATGCTTTCAAATCAAGATTTAATTTGCTGAAGATTGGATATGCTTTCAAAGAAAATTTTAATTTGTTGAAAATTGAATATACTTTCAAATAAAGATTTAATTTGCTAAAGATTAGATATGCTTTAGATTTGTTTGTACCCTATTGAAATTTTTAACTAGATTTCATTTCTATATAAATAGATCGGTTTTCTTATGAAAAATACACATCAAAGAATTCTCACATTCTGAGAGATTAACACTTTGAGGCTTGTAGTGTGTTTTTCTTGTGTAAAACTATGTCATTTGTTATTCATTGCTATTTATGAGATATAGAGTTTTGGAATGTATTTGTGAAATTTGTTACGTATAAAATGATGATTCTTTCAAATATTTGGGAGAGTGTTTGGTGCAATTGAAAAAATTTTAAATTCAAGGGGAACCTAAGTTGAAATTTATGGGTAGTACTAAAAAAATGATATTGAATTGTGAGAGTTCAGATGAGATTGTTGTATACTATTGACTATTTATAATTAGTGAATTTTATTTTCACTAGGTTACAATCCTCCAAACATAGGTGACAATTGTATCGAACTGCGTTACTAATCCCTAACGTCTTTTATTTATTATATGTTTAATTGTTCATTGATAAATTCACATCATCTTGTTTTTTTTATCTAATAGAATTTCAACTGCCACAACCCACAATACACCCACACTTCTGAAGTGAATATTTAATTACATCTCACAACACTCTAACGCAAGAGTATAAGAGAAAGAAAAAAAATGAAATACAAACTTAAAATGTTTTTGACTAGTGAAATATGTAATGAAGAACTAAATTTCATTATATAGTCTTGGACTCCTTCTTCCCATACAAAACTAAGCGACGTGAAACATATTTAACATGTATATTTTCAATCAATGTCAACAAGTATTTCAGACACTTTAATTTTATTATATTTGTAGACATTGTCGTGTATGTATGCAATGTATCGTTTTATGATATTAATCCGAGTGTTGTGAGTTTTGTCGATGTTTCATCTTTTTATTTTTAACAAAGTTTGTATTATTCTTGATCAATATACTCTATCAATTTGAATGAATGGTTTTTATTTTTATCAAAAATATATTTTTTTAATTAATGAGATTGAAAAGCGCCCAAATAATATTTTTTTTTTCTATCTCCTCTATTAAAATTATCTTTTATCAACAAAAATAAACTCAAAATAATTATATTGAGCATAAGAATCCTTTTCAAAAAAAAAATTATACACAATCATAACTATAATATAAAAATAAAATAAAATTCTTAAACAAACAAGTCCAACGTTGACATACTTAGTGCAAACTATTGGTAAGAATTGTAGTAATGTTATGGATGTAATGTGTTGGTTTGGTATTTAGCCTATGAAAAATCAAAAGACTTGAAAAAGACAAGTTAAGATGAGGAAGGAAATTAAAGCAAAGGTTTTCCATCAATTGAAGTTTACACATAATCCAACCATGCAATATAAGAATATTGAAGCAAGCAACCTCACTTTAATGATCTATTCAAACCAAAAAAGGAATTATTCTTAACCAAAAGAAAATTAAAGAATGAAAACCTCATCACAAATTCTTGCCCCATAGCCTTTTATTTGTATAAAAGGATTGAATTACAATTATTTCATTCATTCAATGCAATACATATTTTCATAACTAGTCATCTTCACCTTCAATGGAAGCCAAGGCTAATGAAGATATTAGCAAACGTTTGTATGAAGATTTTGAACCTTATTGTAAATGGCTCACAAATGAAGGACAAAAGATCCTTGAGGTTGATTTGAAAGGTATAGATCCTTGACTATATATTTTCGTCAGTATTTTAATTTCAGATGCAATTTATATTTGAAAAGAAAATTTATATTCACTAAAATGAGTTTAGAGAAAAGAGCTTTAAAGAGGAGAGTAGAGAAAAATATTTTATTTTTCTAAAAATATTTTTGAAAAAATGATAAATTAATATTTTTAATTAACATATTATTAATAATACAGATAGAATTTAATTTTTTTTTTAAATCTCTGATACAATTTTTGAATTTTTTTATTTTAAAGAAATTTTGTATTATAAGAAAATAAAAACTCTCTAAAAAGAAAAGCATCATTGATTCATTTAACATATAAATAATAATAATGTTTTTTAATGAAAAAATTATATAGTATTAATAAAGGGTGAAAATCACCAAATAAGATAGTCGCAAAGCACTAACATTATGTTATGATGATATTTTTTTTCTTGAATCTATGAAGGTTTCAAAAAAGAGCAACTTAAGGTTCAAACCAACAATAAAGGGGTTCTAAGAATTTATGGAGAAAGACCTCTAAGTGCATCTAATAAGAAATGGAATCGTTTCCATAAAGAAATTAGGGTTTCAAAAGATTGTGATGTGAGTGGGGTTCAAGCAAAGTTTTCTCAAGGGATTCTTTCTATTGTGTTGCCAAAAAGTGAAGTAACTCAACATGGCAAAGATGTTGCAACCATAGAGAAACATTCATTATGGGGGGTGCAAAAGAGAAAAAGAACAACCATTCAAATTGTGCTTGGAATAGTGGTTGTGGTTGCACTAGGGACTTATGTGGCAAGAATATTAGAAAATAAATACCATTATGATGCATTTGAGAAGGTTAATGTTGTGAATATTTAATTCAAACATGATGCAATAAGTCAAATAAGATCATGCCAAAATTGAAAATAAGGTATATATTTGCTTTATTTACTATGGTGATAATGAGAAAGTGAGCAAGGTGAATTTGGTTTATATCTTCTTGTAACATGCTATCTTTGAAGAAAAGTAAAGTATAAAAAGGTCATTTCATTTAAATCCTGTCCTTCAATTCTTTTATGTGGTTGTCATGCCATTCATTGGAATTGATTATGTAAAAAAAATCAAAAAATAATAATTGTGCTAATTTAACATTTTTACAGTCAATTGTACCAAAAATAAATAAAGAGAGATATATACGAATATTAAAATTAACTTCGTTAGTGGATCTTATTAGCTTATGTGAAAGGTGATATGATAGCGAATTCAGTTGAGGATGAGGATATCTTTTTACTTCAATCAAACACAGGGGAGAAGTACATGGAAACATGTAAGTGACATCCATAAGTGAGTTTTTTAGAATAAGAATAATGTATATCTGAATATAATATCTTCCTTAGACTTTTATAGTATAGTTATATGATTTAAGTCTCTAAAAATTTTCTCTTTAATGTTTTGGGAACACTTGTCTTAGAGGACAAATGCTTACCAACATGAGCCATCAGATCTGACAACTTGTCTTGTCTCGCGAGACGATTAGACTCTTTAATCTTTTGGGTCATCCCTCTATTGAGCCTTGTCAAATTAGGTGTTGGTCGACTCTGAAAACAATATCCCCTAGCCTTGACCGACGAAGTCAGGCCATGACTTGTCATTCCAACTTGTTCTTCTACACACATCTTGGACTTCAAAGCTTTTAAATTTGAACTTGTCCATGGAGAGTTCCTTTAGGAATCTGTCTTGATTTTTATTAGCCTTTCAATTTCTCTATTTTTTCTTTGTTAGAGTGTGACAAAACTTTAATGGTCTTTGTTGTCATTTCCTTATGCTACGTGGGGCCTATCACTTAAACAAATATAGTTTATGATTGGACATGCTATAATTATTGTGTAAGAATCGTAACTTCTATTATAGTAGAGTTTTGGATGGCATAATTTTTTACTAGTGTTTTTAGTAAACAATCACGAGTTTAGTTCACTTAAAAGATTAACTCGAAAAATCTCAAAGATAATTTGTGCAAAGACAAATTATAGTTAAAAGTGCGTGTGATTTGGATTTAAATGTTTGGATAATGACCAATTGAATGCAAAAGATAAACTTTGGATAAATGCAATAAACGAAAAATAAAATAAATGAAGTAAATGACATTTAATGTAAATGCTTTGAGTACAAATGTGATATGTTTGCTATGTATTATATGACAGAGCTCCATATTCCCCGTCTATTTAAAAACCTTTTCTCCTAAAAAAATCTTGATTCTCCAAATGGCACATGTATGCACTTTCAAAGATGCATCACACATCAAGAACCATAAATCGACCAATGAGTAAACCCAAAACCGGCAAGTAGAAAGCAATTCAGTCAACACAAAACAAAAGATCGAATTCCTATTTTATGAAGAGGGAGAAATCCAAGAAGCTTAAAATCATTTTGATGTGTGTATGTTAAGTAAGATCATCACCGAAAACTAATTATTAAGGATCTATCATGCATCTCTATCAAATATCTGATGCAACCCTCAAAATATAAGTGGTGTTGAAATAGAGCCAAATCTTTTGAAGATTTCAAAGAAAAAAATCAAAAGATCAGAAACGCATTATAAAGGGCGTCCCTTAGATATTCCACAATTCTTTTTTAACTTTATTGAACCAAGAATTGTTGGGAGAATAATATTTTTTGCATTGTTTTGTTTTATGATAACATGATGTAAGACAACAATTTGATTGTCTAACGTTTGTTACTTGTGTAGAATGTTCATTGTAACCTATTCTCTGAAAAAAGTAAGTCTACGAATAATCATCTGGTGTATTAGATGAATCTGACACATTTATCATAAACACATCTTGGTACTACATTGTTGAAGCATCCTCTAATTGAGTGTCATGGTGACTCACTTTGGTACCCACTGGTACAAGATGTCAACATTATCCTTTAGTCACAAGTACTTGAGCACTATCATATTCATCTAGTCAACTCTAAGCTTTAAATTCAACATATTGACCCTCTGGTAAAAGATCAAGTTGTTGCCTGATCTTACTAGTTGATCAGAACCTGAGATGGGGCAAAGACAAACGTATGTGATGCTGGGTATGAAAGAGGATGAAGGGGTGTGCCTGCAAGGCACTCCGATGCTAAAGTAAGAAAATGAGCTAGAGAGAGACCAAGCACGAAATATGTGTGTTTTAGGGTGAATGGATACATGGCCCTCTCAAGTGAGAGGGTTTGTATAATGCCCCCAGCGCTTGGCCATTGGTCCCTATTTTCGGGGCGAGATAACCGTTTCTCGAAGAATAGGTAACTGCCATAACTAGCCATTGGGATGGGCAGGCGTGCTCATAGCTAGCCGTTGGCACGGGCAAAAGCGTAGTTACGGGCACAAGCGTTTTGGCTATTTCTGGATGGTGGAACCATGCATGATGGGCAAAGACTAATGGGGAGGAGTGTTGTGGCCAAGGGTAAATTGGTCAACCTCCCCCGCTGGAGGGGCAGAAAGATAAATTCTCCCCCTCAAATGGTTGGACTTAGGCAATTGGGTCGTTCTGGGAGCAGAAGTGAATTGGGTCTTGCCTAGCCATTGGGCCAGTCTGGAATAGTATCCCCTCAAGCCGTTGCTACTGAGCACGGTAGTGATGACTTAAGGATAATCTTCTTTCCGGGCATAGTCTTTGTAAGCTTCCTTGTGTTCGGAGAAGCACTTTCCCGAGCGTCTGAAGCATTGTTGTCGAGGAGCTTGAGACTCAGGGAGCCCAAGGTTGATGGGACTTGAAGAGTGGAGGTGTCACGTGTGCCTCGAGTCGTGTGCTGCATTAAATGCGTGATGATGACTAGGCTAGGGTCATGATGATGCCCTATCCTCACATGCTCGTACGCGTGCCTGTCATTTTCCTATAACTAGTGAGAGGTTCCATTCATTCAGAACTTTCGCTTCTCTCTCTCTTCTTGCTCATTGTTCCCCATTCTTCGCCGCTCGCTTCCTTCAAGTTTTGCTCTGGCCACTGTACAACGTCCGACCAGAGCTACTCAAATCCAAAACTTCTTCCTCGACCAAGTAAGTATGTCGAGTCCTTGCTTACTCTTTATTTTTCTGGTTTGATGTTGTAGAATGCATGTGGTTAGGACTGAAACGAAGCAGTTCTAGGGCTTTTTTATGGTGGCTTCTGGTGGAAAACAGTGGTGCGGCCATTTTCTTTGCTATCGGCGCCGTAGTGGTTGTTTTTAGGAAAGATCAAGTTAGCAAGCCATATCTTTTAGTTGATCATAAAGTATTGACGGCACGATGATGTTTGCTACCGGAAAGGGCCATGAACTCTGGTGGTTCCATCATGACAGTTCTGGGTTTTGTGCGCATGGATCTTTCCTCGAACGTGTCGAGGAGGACCCTCGGGTACTGATATCGTTTAGTTGTGCCATTTGAGTAGGGCTTAGGTCGAGGATTCTGTCCTTAGCCTTTTGCGCGCCCTTTCACTTGACTGGCAGTGGAAGGGTGGATTTGATTTTGTCATCGAATTCACTTTTTTTTCTCTGCTTTTCAAGTAAAAGTGATGTCGCGCAGGTCTGACGAGGACGAACATCCCAGGGATTTGTCCGAGGATAGCTCCTCAGAGGATACTGAAATGGACCATGACTCCTAGTCCCCTGATGCTGGAGGGATGACTACCGCGAGGACATTGACCGATGAGTGGGTCGTAGTTCAGCTAATGGAGCATGCCTCGCTTTTTGCTTCATACACCGGAGACGCGTTTACTACGGTGGGGCCGGAGGGATAGTGGATGGTTCACTTCCTCTCAGAGGACGAATGTATATGTTCAGCGTGCGGGGAGAGATTTCCCATGTACGAATACATTTTTAAAGAGATAGGGTTGAGGTTGCCCTTCACGGGCTTTCAACGGGCAGTCTTCGTGCATCTTGACTTGGCGCCTTCCCAACTGCACCCAAATTCCATTGCCTTCATGCGAGCGTATGAATTGGTGTGCGAATACTTGCAGATTGGGGCTACCCTTCCACTCTTCTTCACCATCTTTCATCTTCAACGTCAGGTGTTAGGGAGGAAGTTCGGTTGGTTTTCTTTGAAGCAGGAAAGGAAACTGCTCAAGCCCTTTTCCGAATCTATCTGGACCTTTAAAGAGAGATTTTATATGATCGATCTGGTGTTGGAGAGAGCTACTCACTCGACCTTTGTGTGGGAGGTCTCAACGGACGAAAAAAGGGAGGGCATGATAGACGAGGAGGGTAAAATAGTTGTCCGGAGGTTGTTTACATTCCCCTTCTGCTGGAATGGGGCTCACTTTACTCGTTCGACTGATGAGTACATAGTTACTCCTTATCAGTTGGTCGATGATGATCGGGCTAGCTACACCAAGCTGGTGGCCTTTATGGACGGCTTCCTTCATGCTCAGTGCGTGAATCGCGCTGGGAAGGTGCTCTATGAGGAAGATGGAGGGCTACATGTGGAAGCCTGATACATTAATACTAAAGAGCTTCTCGAGTGTAGCACTCGCGAGGAGGCTCTCAAACTTTTGGGTAGCTTCACGCTTTTTCTTATTTTATTCGAGATGTTTTTTCTTTCCACGTGCTGACGTGCTCGTTATTTTTGTAGGTAAAATGTCTTCGGCACAGAAGAGGATGGTAAAGCATGCCTAAGGAAAGCTGGAGGGCGGCACTGCCCTAGGAAGAAATCGCCTTGGTCAGCAAATGACTCCCCCGCAGACAGGGTCGGGGACTTCATCTTCAACTCCTCCGACCATTCAGAAGTCCCCTCTGCCCGTGAGCTCGAGGCCCAAGCGCGCCTACATGAATGAAATTGTGGACCTCAGTCGAGAGTCGTCAAAAGCAAGTTCAAGCTTCCTCCCTGCCTGCATAACAAGAAATTCTTTAAGGGGTCC